AAATGCCACAGCTGGTTTTAGAGACATCTTTACAGTGAGAACAAGAAGCTTCAAAGTAGGTTAAGAGGTGATTTCCCAGGCCAATCTCCTCACATGCTGTGAGAAGCAGGTGCCTCTTGGAAAGGTGGCTTAGTGTTGGAATCACATGGAAAGGAAAACATCAAAAATTCACGTGTGGCTGAGGGCTGGGGACCACGGTCTCAGGGGACATCTAGCTCAATTGGCATGACATAGTTTATAAAGAAAATGTTCTACATCCTACTTTGGTGAGTAACATCTAAGGGCTTAAAAGCTTGTAAGCGGCCATGTAAGGTACTCCACTTGTCGCATCCCATCTGGAGTAAGGAAGAATGAAGAAAAACAAAGACACAAGGGAGAGATTAGTCCAAAGGACTAATTGACCACAACTACCACATCCCTCACCAGACTGAGTCCAGCACAACTAGATGGTGCCAGGCTACCATCACCGATTGCTATGACAGGGATCACAATAGAGGGTTCTGGACAGAGCTGGAGAAAAATGTAGAACAAAATTCAAACACAGAAAAAGACCAGACTTACTGGTCTGACAGAGACTGGAGAAATTCCCAGAGTATGGCCCCTGGACACTCTTCTAACTGAAGTCATTCCTGAGGTTCACCCTCCAGCCAGAGGTTAGACAAGCACATAAAACAAAGTGAGACTAAATGGGCACACTGACCCAGGGGCAAAGACAAGAAGGCAGGAGGGGACAGGAGAGTTGGTAATGGAGAGCCCAAGGTGGAGAAGGGGAGAGTGTTGACATGTCATGGGGTTGGCAACCAATATCACAAAACAATATGTGTATTAATTGTTTAATAAGAAACTAATTTGCTCTGTAAACCATCTAAAGCACAATATAAAAAAAAAATTCAATAGAAGACAACCCAATAAAAAGGGGTAACATATTTGAACAGATACTTCATCAAAGAAGAAATATGGATGGCAAATACGCACATGAAAAGATGCTCAGCATCATTAGTCATTATAGGGAAATGCATATTAAAACCAAAGTGAGATACTTAACTGCTACATACCTACCAGAATGAGTAAACTTTCTGAAAAACAGACAGTACAAAATGCTGATAATGATGCAAAGCAGCAGCAGCTCTCATACACTGCTGGTGGAGATACAAAATGATAAAAACAAGTTGGTAGTTTCTTATACAGTTAAACACACACTGACCACATGGCCCAGCAATTCCATTCCTAGTTGTTTACCCAAGATAAATGAAAACATATGCATACTTCAAGACCTGTACATGAATGATTTATAACAGCTTTATTCATAAAAGCCCCAAAATGAAAACCAAAACTCCTTCAACTGGTGAACAGATACACAAATGTTGGTATACCTAATTGATGGACTTGCAGCAATTAATTAATCAGCAACAAAAAGTATGAGCTACTGATATAGGCAACCATATGGATAAATTTCAAAATCATCATACTAAATGAAAGAAGTCAGACCAAAAAGGATCCATGTAGTGAAATTAAATAACATTCTTGGAAAAACAAAACTACAGAGATGGAAAATCTGATCAGTGATTTGGTTAACTGATCACTTTGGCGGAGGGGAACTGGGGAGGATGGGGAGGGGAATGTGGAGACCGACTATAAAAAGTTAAATGGAACTTTTTGGCATGAAAATATTCTAATTTTGACCTTGGTGGTTGTTATATGGCTACATACGGTTGTCAAAACTCATCAAAATTTACACCTAGAAAGGTAAATTTTACTGTATGTAAATTATACCTCAATAAACCTGATTCCCAAAAGATGCAAGAAAAATTTTTTTTATTAAATGTATAAAAACTCCAATTTAAAGATTATGATTACCAGACTAAATTTTTTAAAAAGGTAGTAGAATAGAAAATAGTATCATGTATTGTAAGGCTAAGCAGTGTTTCATATAAGTTTATATGTGATGGGTCTTAAAGCAAAATGTGCTTCTTACTGAAGCCCACGGTCAAAAAATTTTGAGAATCACTGTTCCAGGCCATGTCATCTCACACTGGGATGTAAGAGTGTTCCTTCTCTGTTTAAAACCCTTTGACAAAAATAGATAAACTAGACTTCATCAAAATTTGAAACTTTTGTGCTTCAAATGACACTATCAAGAAAGTAAAGGACAACCCACAGAATGGAAGAAAGTAACTGCGAATCTGATAAGGACTTGTATCTAGAATATATAAATAACTCTTACAACTCAACAATAACAAGACAACTAATCTAATTTAAAAAAATCAACAAAGGATCTGAATAGACATTTCTCCAAAGAAGATATACAAGTAGCCAATAAACCCATGAAAAGACACTCAACATCATTAGTCATTAAAAAACCTGTTGCCATCAAGTCGATTTCGACTCAGAGCAACCCGACAGGACAGGGTAGAACTGCCCCATAGGGTTTTCAAGGAGCGCCTGGTGGATTTGAACTGCCGACCTTTTGGTTAGCAGCCGAACTCTTAACCACTATGCCATCAGGGTTTCCCATTAGTCATTAGAGAAATCCAAATCAAAACCATAATGAAATACCACTTCATATCCACTAAAATACCAGATGCCATGGAATCAGTTCTGACTCATGGCAACCCCATGTGTGTCAGAGTAGAATTGTGCGCCCTAGGGTTTTCAACGGCTGATTTTTTGGAAGTAGATCACCAGGCCTTTCTTCAGAGGTGCCTCTGGCTGGACTCGACCTCCAACCTTTTGGTTAGTAGCTGAGCACGTTAACCATTTGCACCACACCCACTAGGATGGCTAAAATAAAAAAGACAGAGAATAACAAGTGTTTGGAAGGATGTGAAGAAATTACACCCTTATACATTGCTGGTGGGATTGTAAAAGGGTGCCACACTTTGGAAAACAGTTTGGCAGTTCCTCAAAACGTTAAATGACTTAGCAATTCCTCTCCTAGATGTAGACTCAAGATAACTGAAAACATATGTCCACCCAAAAACTTGTATGCAAATATTCATAGCAACATTATTCATGATAGTCAAAAAGTGGAAACAACAAAATGTGGTATATTATACAATGAAATGTTATTTGGCAATAATAAAGAATGAAATACTGATACAGTCTACAATATGGATGAACCCTGAGAACACCACACTAAATGAAAGAAGCCAGGCACAAAAGGCCACAGATTATATGATTCCATTTCTATGACATGTCCAGAATAGACAAGTCCATACAGACAGAGAGCAGATTAGTGGTTACCAGAAGATGGAGGAAGGAAGAAAATGGGAGTGACTACATAATAGGTACTGGGTTTGGTTTTGGGGTGATGAAAATGTTCTAAAATTAGATTGTGGTGATGGTTGCACAATTCTGTTAATATACTAAAACTCACAAAATTGTATACTTTAAAGGGAGAATTTTATTGTATGTGAATTATATGTCAATGAAGCTGTTACAGAAACTCAAAAAAACTCTGAAGATATTAGCCCAAAGGACTAAATGACCACATGAACCACAGCCCCCACCAGCCTGAGCCCAGAAGAACTAGATGGTGCCCAGCTACCACCACCGGCTGCTCTGACAGGGATCATAATAGAGTTCTGGACAAATTGGGAGAAAAATGCAGAACAAAATTCAAACTCAGAAAAAAAGACCAGCCTTACTGGTCTGACAGAAACTGGTGGAACCCCCAAGACTATAGCCCCCCGACACCCTATTAACTCAGAACTGAAGCCACTCCTGGAGCCCATTTGTAGATAAAGATTAGACAGGCCTACAAAACAAACAATAACACACTTGAGGAACGTGCTTCTTAGTTCAATAAAATACATGGGACCAAATGGGCAACTCCTGCCCAAAAGCAAGAAGAGAAGTCAGAAAGGGATAGGAAAACTGGACAAATGGACACAGGGAACCCAGGAGGGAAAGGGGGAGAGTGCTGTCACATTGTGGGGATTACAACCAATGTCACAAAACAATTTGTGTATGTATTTTTGAATGAAAAACTTCACCTAAAGTAAAGCACAATCAAATTATTAAAAAAAAAAAAAAAAAAAACCCTTTAATAGCTCTCCTTTGTCAAAAACACTTAGTGGGACATCCAAGTTCCTTCATGACTTACTTCCAGCTAAACTTTCAACTTTCAGGTCTCCTGCTATCTCCCCGTTGCACTACTTTCTGTCTCCATCCCAAACACTCCATGCCAGTTTATAACTCCATGTTTATAACTCCATGCCTTTGCACACAGCATTCTCACTGTCAAGCATGTCTTCCTCCCTCTTCTCTTTCCGGTGAACTTTTATACATCCTTCAAGACCATCTGAAATGCTGTCTTCTCCAAGAAATCATCCCTTACTCCTCCAGGCAAAGTTGATCCTCCCCTCCAGTCTATAGGCATTCTGTCTCCACTAATAGATTCTGAACTCCAGGAGTTTACAAGACAGCATCATCGTCAGTCCCAGGACCTAATGTTTGTAAGCACTTAGTAAATGTTTATTGAATAAATGAAAGACAAAATGCTCCCGCACTACTGACCAGAAATAGTACTTTTCTTCCTCCAGCTAGTTTAATTGCTAAAATCCATACAAATATAACCTGAGTTCTGGCCTTTAGAGACCAATAAACTGAAATAAAAGTACAAATTTGAGGCCAACATTGAGACTTAGGGAAAGTTACCATAAAGTAACATTTCGTGGGGTTCATAGTTCGGATACTTATCATTGTTGACCGAACATACTTAGTGAAGTCAATACTCTTTTATTCAACGTATTAAATGTGTTGTTTAACTCTGGTAACCACAGCTCTGACTTAGTTAATGGTCTCAATAAATCCTACTTAAATCAGAGACAGGAAAAAATTATGCAAATGAATTATCTGTTTTTCTGCCCAAGGCATATTTGATAACAGATAAAACATGCTCCTAAAACATACTCCAAATAGTCTCTACTTAATAGTCAGGAAGCCGTTCGAGGTTTTATTTGGATCACAATCAAATAAAAAGAAGAAAAGAAGCCTGCTATATTCACAAATGGTTTTATTTCAGAAAGAAATTACACATTAAAAGGAGACATACTTAAGAGCTTACATTCACATATGGAAGTGAATCTAGGAAAGTCAACGGTTATTAATACACAAAGCCACATGATTTAAAAAGACAGTAACAGATAATGACAGATGGGTCTGCCTTAGATTCATCCACAAAATAGTATTTTCTGTTTAAAAACAAAAAGATACTGGTCTTTAAGATAGCTCTTTGGAAACGAGTTTGTAGGTCCAATGGACTTGAAAATCAAACCAATCACACTAGTCTCCGTGTAGGCTGTATCACACCCATACTTATCCAGCAGGATGGAAACCATCCATCAGTTATACCTTGCAGCTAGATAGGATGTCTTCCACTAATCTCTTGTAAACCCAGGCATCGCCCTTAAGCCGCTGCCGCCTGATACCCACCACATCGGGTTTTTGAAGCTGGCACACTTCTAGCTCAAACTGCATTGTTACTTTGCCAAAATCTGACTGTGTTTGACACTTCAGTGTATAGCTGTGAAAATCAAGATAAGAAGCGAGTTAGTGGGAGAACCATCAACATTCTGTATAATATAAGAGGTTTCTAAGCCTTTAGGAGGCCAGTGGAGAAAACGAACCACTATTTCATATTAAGCAATGTATCACTGCTTACAGTTCCAAATGACCTAGCTACGCTTTAGTGATGGAATATGACTGGTGTTATTCCAGAAGCTGAACTAGTATCCTAAGAAAGAACGATGAAAGGGCTTTACCAGAATTCTCCCTAGCTCCAGAGAAAAGTCCTTCTTTCATAGCTGTACACGCCATTCATGCTCAAGAAATCTTCTGGCATCCTTTATGCAACCCTTTCAGCAGTGTAATCCGTGAACATTAAGCCACTTCCAAAATGTTCACAAAAAAGGAAAGCACAAGAAAGATTAAGAATATTTTTTGTGTGTATGTACCTCATCAGAAACTTCTGTCTTTCATATAAATAAAGCTGAAAACACTAACCTGTCAGAAGGACACATTTTTGAGGTTTTCCTACTACTAATAAGGGGTCATGATTATTACAATACTTTATAGCAGGTTATAAAAGAAAGCAGAGGAGGTGGTACATCTCCTCAGTTGAAATGTATGGCATTTGTAATTATCACTGTCATGCTGTCTACTCTGACAATGGAAAGATCCAGCCTACGTGAAGCTGAAAACTTATTTTAAGAAATAGGCATGTTCCTGAAAAGTTGTGTAAAATAAATCCATGCAAATTTGTTGTTTAATGAGTTCACATTAATTTTTAGAGTTTTATTTAACTGTCTTCTTACTGATCTTCAAAAATAATGCCTAGGATCAATTTTAAGTTCTGCATAAGTGTGGAGAAATTACTTTGTATCTATTATATAATACTATGAGGTTTCACAAAATACTCATTTTCTTTGTTATATACTTTGGGGAAAGGATTTCATATCTTAAAAATAAGCAGTAAATATCAGAAATGCCAAAAGGAGTACCCTGTAGTTAAGGTTCCTAATGGGAAGATGAGGCATAGAACAATTTAATCAAAGGGATTAAGACAAAAGGTAATTCTTCTTGATTGGAAAAAGACAACAATGTAATATAATCAAGATTAGTAACATTCCACCACTGAAACACTTTTGTCTTTCTGCCTTGTCACAAATAAGGTAAATACAGAGTAAGTGAAAAAGAAAGAAAAAGGTCAAGATAGAAACCTGGTTAATCAGGAAGTTAGAAGGACAAATGATTGGTTAACAGCCAGGTAGTGATTCCTGATAGTGCACATGAAGAAGGAAAGATCATCAAAAGGCTTTTGATCTCAAGGTTAGAGGCTAGGGGATCTGAATACAGTCAAAGCTCAAGATGAAGAACAGATCAGACTGAGCTAGACAGATGTGTTCTAAAAAAAACCTAAAGAAGAAAATCAGGTTCATGTAAGGAATGCTTGCCAACATTTATATAAAGTAGGGAAAAGTAAACAACTTTTGCAAAAGATTGCTTCTTAAAATCTTACTCTATATTGATTATTCTATTACAATGTTTTTGTTAAATCTATTAGTGGCTACAAGAGACACAATTGAGTAACCAGAAGAGGTCTGGCTATTCAGTCCATAAGATCAGAACCAAGGAGCCATTTGGTGGCAGTTCACTCAATAGCAAGACAGAGTTAAGACAAAACAACTTCCTGAAATACTGAAAACCCAAACCAACCTGTAAAACATCAATTCATAAGAAAAAAGATGCTATATAAGTCCATTATTTGTTTGAGATGTCTCATAAATTTAGATTACAATTTATAAATATCATTGGAAAGTGGAAAACAGGATTTAAATGAAAACTGGAAGAAGTTCAAATTTTCCTATTTTGAAGTAAAAAGTGTAACTTTGTAAGTGGTGAACTTGTACAAAACAAAAGAGAATAAAATGTGAACAATTACATTACCATAAAAGCTTTTTAGAATGAGATGGGAGAAATATATCTTAAAAAAACAACAACAAATAAACCAATATTTACTTAAATTCTGAAAGACATCAAGTAATAAATGCAACACCCTGTAAATGTGCTTCTTACCCTTTTTGTACAAAGTCGACATGCTTCTTTGGGAGAACAGACATTATTTCATTCAAGAGTTGATCTGGATTCACTAATCTGGTAGTAGTCACATTATAGTGAAGCTTAAAAAAAAAGAAAAGGTGAGAGGAAAATCTTTATGTTGACACAATATCATTCTAACTGTGCGGTGAAGAATTTAGCTTTTCCCAAAGTAATGTGGACTTTGTCCTTGGTTCCTGAGAAATATTCTCTGGAGTAATTGGGGCATCTTAGCCTGGGACTTCCAGGCTACACGTGAGTGTCTGTGTTGTTCAGTGGGAGCTGGCCAGGCCAGAAAATACTCACCTGGGAGACCGTTATCAGCTAGCCACAGGAGGCATGATTTAGCCTATCATGCAGGACCAGTCAATAAAAGCCTGGAACACAAAGGCTCAGGGAGCTTCCTGGTTGGCAAAGAGAGGGTAACATGTCCTCTTTAGGACACAGAAGCTCCACATTGGGAACCCTCCCAGACCTAGACCCTGCATCTCTTCCTTATGATGATCCTGATTTGTATCCTTCAGCTGTAATAAATCTATAATCATAAGTGCAGTCCTCTCTGTGAGTTCTGTAATTCCAGTGAATTATCGAACTCAAAGGAGAAGAGGCAGCAAGCAAGTGAAAGTGAAGGTGTCGTCTGGACTCCCAAACTTGTGGCTGCTGTCTGCCTATTTGACAGGCTAAAGGACGATGTCTTTTTAACCTGTGAGATCTGCCCTGGCTCCGGGTGGCTAGGGTGCCGAATGGGCAGCTGGTGTCAGAGAATGATTAATTCCAGGAGCTGATTCTATGACAACTCTATGAGGGAATGAATATAACAGCTATTCCTTTTAAACAGTACACCTTTTCCTCACTATGGACTATCTCGTTATCTGACATTTCACATTTACGACAATAGTAAAAAAATCTACTATTCGCCTACTTTGTGCATTAACAACTTACATCTGGCCCTAACACCAAGATGTGAGACAAGAGTAACGCTGGCTTTGATGGTTAAGGTTATGTGTCACCTTGGCTGGGCCATGATTCTCAGTGGTTTGGCAGTTATGCAGTGATGCAACTTGGCAGTCATGTAATGATGCAATTTGGCAGTTATGTAATAAATGTAATTTGGCAGTTATGTAAAGATGTACTCATCTTCCATTTTGTGATCTGATGTGGTCATTTTCACATAACACCAATTTCACATAACGACCTGGTCTTTGGAACCTAACCATGTTGATAAGTGAGGAGAAAGTATAATGTCAAATTATTTTTTTCTCATTGACTAAGAGCATAATTCTCAAAGACGTTTATTTTCATTCCTGATTGGTCTCATTCATTCATTTAAAAAAATTTATTGAATGCTTAGTATGTGTCAAGCACCGTTCTAGCAGATCCTGAAGACACACTAGTAAACAGACAAAAATCCCTGCCTTCCTAGAAGTATCTTCACTGTCAAATAAAATCTTAGTTTCTACCTCTTTCAGATTTCAGAGTTTTTTAAATAAATAACAAAATGCTGAAGTTGGAAAGGACCTAACTACCTCACTTTTCAAATTAAGAACATATACCCTAAAGAAAAGATGTAAACTTTTGAAGGTAGGGTTTCTCAAAGTGTAATATACACTATCAGTGAAGAGATACATTGGGTGGCATATATATATTTTTTAATGTTTGCTCCAATCCGATTTAGAAAAATATAATTAGCACAAACTAATGATATACAGTTTCCTTTTAAAAACATTTAAGTTTAAAATGTATTTGAGCACCTGATCCAAGCCATGGTATTTTCAAATTGCCTCATATGCAAGGAAAAGCTAGACAAAGGAGAATTGATGCCTCTGAATTACGGTGTTGGCAACGAATGTTGAATATACCATGGACTGTCAGAAGAACGAACAAATACGTCTTAGAAATTAAAGCCAGAATGCTCCTTAGAAGTGAGGATGGCAAGACTTCATCTTATGTATTTTGCACATGTTATCAGGATATATCAGTCCCTGGAGAAAGACATCATGCTTGGTAAAGCAGAGGGTCAGTGAAAAAGAGGGAGACCCTCAACAAGATGGACTGACACAGTGGCTGCAACAATGGGCTCAAACATAGCAATGATCATGAGGATGGCACAGGACCAGGCAGTGTTTTGTTCTGTTGTACACAGTGTCACTATGAGTCAGAACCGACTCAATGGCACCTAACAACAAAGTTAAAAAGTTAGTCATCTTGACCATGCTGATGGCTTCACAAGTGTGTGTGTGTGTGTGTGTGTGTTAAAGCATATTGAACTGAACATTTTTAATATGTGTAGTTTATTGTATGCCAATTATACCTCTACAAAGCTGTTTTTAATAAGTGAGACAATATAAAGAAAATACTAGATAAATAATAGTGCAGCTGATATCCCAGGATGGCAAGTGTCATGAAAGTGAGTGCTAAATGGCTAGAGCTTGGGGAACCTCAGCTTCAAGTTATAAAGGCAACAAGTGGCAATGCCATGATGGGGCCCTCTATTTCCTCACTCCCAATCCAAGGCTCTTCTCATCAAACTAAATTGACTGTCAAGATGATAATAAACAGAACACTTTAAAATCACAATTTAAATGATTCATTTTGTAAAATAAAGAATTAGCCCTAATTTACCTATAGGCATGCCTCAGAGATATTGCAGATTCGGTTCCAGACCACCGCAATAAAGCAAGTATCGCAATAAGGGAAGTCACAGGAATTTTTTGGTTTCCCAGTGCATATAAAAGTTATGCTTACACTATCCTGTAGTCTATTAAGTGTGCAATAGCATTATTTCTAAAAAGACCATGTACATACCTTAATTTAAAAACACTTTATTGCTAAAAAATGCTAACCATCATCTCAGCCTTCAACGAGTCATTATCTTTTTGCTGGTAGAGGGTCTTGCCTCGAGGTTGATGGCTGCTGACTGATCAGGGTGGTGGTTGCTGAAGGCTGGGGTGGCAATTTCTTAAAGTAAGACAACAATAAAGTTCGCCGCATTGATTGACTCTTCCTTTCACGAAAGATTTCTCTGTAGCATGTGATGCTGTTTAATAGCATTTCACCCACAGTAGAACTTCTTTTAAAATTGGAGTCAATCCTCTCAAACCCTGCCACTGCTTTATCAACTAAGTTGATTTAATATTCTAAATCCTTAGCTGTCATTTCAACAATGTTCAAAGCATCTTCAACAGAAGTAGATTTTATCTCAAGAAACCACTTTCTTTGCTCATCCATAAGAAGCAACTCCTCATCTGTTAAAGTGTTATCGTGAGATTGCAGCAATCCAGTCACGTCTTCAGGCTCCACTTCTAATTCTAGTTCTCTTGCTATTTCCAACACATCTGTAGTTACTTCCTCCACTGAAGTCTTAAACCTCTCAAAGTCATCCATGAGAGTTGGAATCAACTTCTTCCATCCAAACTCCTGTTCATGTTGACATTTTCATCTCCTCTCATGAATCACGAATGTTCTTAATGGTATCTAGAATGGTGAATCCTTTCCAGGTTTTCAATTTACTTTGCCCAGATCCATCAGAGGAATCACTATCTATGGTAGCTATAGCCTTACAAAATGTATTTCTTAAATAATAAGACTTAAAGTCAAAATTACTCCTTGATCCAGGGGCTGCAGAATGGATGTGTTAGCAAGCATGAAAACAACATTAATCTCCTTGTACATCTCCATCAGAGTTCTTGATGACCAGGTGTATTGTCAATGAGCGTAATATTTTGAAAGGAATCTTTTTTTCTAAGCAGTTGATCTCAACAGTGGGCTTATTCAGTAAACCATGTTATAAACAGATGTGCTGTCATACAGGCTTTGCTGTTCCATTTACAGAGCACAGGCAGACAAGATTTAGCATAATTGTTAAGGAAGAGCCCTAGGATTTTTGGAATAGTAAGTGAGCACTGGCTTCAACTTAAAGTCACCAGCTGCATTAACCCCTAACAAGAGAGTCAGCCTGTCCTTTGAAGCTTTGAAGCCAAACATTGACTTCTCCTCTCTAGCTATAAAAGTCCTAGATGGCATCTTCTTCCAACATAAGGCTATTTCGTCTACATAGAAAATCTGTTGTTTAGTGTGGCCACTTTCATCAATTATCTTAGCTAGATCTTCTGGATAACTTGCTGCAGCTTCTACATCAGCACTTGCTTCACCTTGCACTTTTATGTTACAGAGACAGCTTCTTTCCTTGTACTTCATGAACGAACCTCTCCGAGCTTCAAACTTTTCTTCTGCAGCTTCCTCACCTCTCTCAGCCTTCAGAGAATGAACAGAGTTAGGGCCTTGCTCTGGATTAGGCTATAGCTTAAGGGAATGTTGTGGCTAGTTTGATCTTCTATCCAGACCACTAAAACTTTCTCCATATCAGAAATCAGGCTGTTGTCCTTTCTTATCACTCGTGTGTTCACTGGAGTAGTACTTTCTAATTTCCTTCAAGAACTTTTCTTTTGCATTCACAACTTGGCTAACTGGTGCAAGAGGCCTAGCTTCCGGCCCATCTCAGCTTTTGACATGTTTTCCTCACTAAGTTTAAGCATTTCTAGCTTTTGATTTAAAATGAGACATTAAGTGTTTCACTTGAATACTTAGAGGCCATTGTCGGGTTATTAACAGGCCTAATTTCAATATTGTCGTGTTTCAGGGAATAGGGAGACCTGAGGAGAGGGAGAGAGACGGAGTGGGGAACAGCCAGTCAGTGGAGCAGTCAGAACACACACAACATTTATTAAGTTTGCCGTCTTACACGGGCACGGTTCATGGCACCCCAAAACAATTACAACAGTAACAAAGATCACTGATCACAGATCACCATAACAGATATAATAACAACGAAAAAGTTTGAAATATTGCAAGAATTACCAAAATGTGACACAGAGAGACGAAGCGAGCACATGCTGTTGGAAAAATGGCGCCGAGAGACTTGCTCAATGCAGAGTCGCCACAATCCTTTAGTTTATAAAAAACACAGTATCTGCAAAGCGCAATAAAGTGAGGCGCAATAAAACGACATATGCCTGTATTTAAATTTCAGATTTTTATAGATTGCTTCCTAAAAGAGGGCTTATCTACATATGATTTGCTATCTTAAAAAATTAAGGCATTCCACTCCTAGGTATATACTCAGAAGACTTGAAAGCAGGGTCTCAATGAGATACTTGTAAACCCATGTTCATTGCAGCACTATTCACAACAGTCAAAAAGTAGAAATAGCCCAAGTGTCCAACAACAGATAATGGATAAACAAAATGTGGTATATACATACAATGAAATATTATTTAACCATAGAAAAATGAAGTCCTAACACATGCTACAACATGGATGAAGCTTGAACACATCATCCGCATGAAATAAGTCAGACACAAAAGGACAAATATTGTATGATCCTATATATATGAAATATCTAGAATAAGCATATGGATAGAGACAAAAGTGTATTAGTAGTTACCAGAGGCTTGGGGGAGGGAGAAATGGGAAGTTATTGCTTAAAGGTACTGAGTCTCTATTTAGAGTGATGAAAAACATTTGGAAATAGACAGTAGTGATGGCTGCACAACATGGAGAATATAATTAATGTCACTGAATTGTACATTATAAAATGGCTAAAATGGCAAATGTTTTGTTATATACATCTTATCACAATAATTTTTTTTTTAAATCAAGGTGTTCTTTGTGCTTTCTTCCAACTTTTCTGTAAGTTTATAATTTTTTAATATAAGAAGTTTGGGGATGATTAGTCATTAAACTCATTGCTGTTGAGTCAATTCCAACTCATAGCAACCCTATAGGAGAAGCAGAGCTGCCCCATAGGGTTTCCAAAGCTGTAATCTTTGTACAACAGACTGCCACATCTTTCTCCTGCAGTGTGGCTGGTGGGTTTGAACCGCCAACCATTTGGTTAGCAGCCAAGCACTTAACCACTTCGTCACCAGGGCTCCTTCATTAGCCATTAACCAATAAACCAAACCCGTTGCCGTTGAGTCGATTCCAACCCATAGCAACCCTAGAGGACAGAGTAGAACTGCCCCATAGGGTTTCCAAGGAGTGGCTGGTGGATTTGAACAGCCAACCTTTTGGTTAGCAGCTGTATCAATTATCCACTGCGCCACCAGGGCTCCCATTAGCCACTAGGGGAGATACAAATCAAAATCACAATGAGATACCACCTCACCCCCATTAGAATGACAATGATCAAAAAAATGGAAAACAAGAGGTATTGGAAACGATATGGAGAAACCGGAACTCTCATTCATTGCTGGTGGTAATGCAAAATGGTACAGCCACTGTGGAAAACCGTTTGGCAGTGCCTCAAAAGGTTGAGCATGCAAGTACCATGACTCATCAATCCCAGTCCTAGGTATTACCCAAAAGAAGTGAAAGCAGGAACGCAAACAGAAACCTGTACCCCAGCGTTCACTGTGACACTTTTCAAAATAGCCAAAAGGTAGAAGTAACCTACACATCAATCAACAGATGAATGGATAAACCAAATGTGGTATATATATACAATGGAATATTATTCAGCCATAAAGAGAAATGAATTTCGAATACATGCCACAAGAAAGATGAACCTTGAAAACATGATGCTAAATGAAATAAGTTGGTCACAAAATGTCAAATACTGTATGATCTCACTTAAATAAAATAAGCAAGTATATAGAAACGAAAGCTTATTAGTGGTTACCAGGGGTGGGAGGGAAGGGGGAAGAGGGAGTTTTTGCTTGCGGGGCGGAGTTTATGTTAATGTTGGTAGGTTAGGAAAAAGATAGGAGTAGGGGTTTTGCAACATGAGGACTGTAATGAATGTCACTGAATTGCACATGTAGAAACTGTTGACAATGGCATGAGCGCCTCTGCAAAAACTAAACATGGACCCAGTGCCCAAACCATGGGGACCACTGTGATCTTCTCCTCCCTCCTCTGGGCCCCACACCTCTTGAAACATGTCTTTATCACAGCATTGAGCCCAGTGTGTCACAGCAACATCCCTGTCTGTTTTCACTGCCAGTCTGAGTTCCTCAAGGACACAGGTTGTGTCTTACTCATCCCTTTACCTCTTACTTCCACCAAACAAAAATGTCATTTATTAGACATCTAAATGATTGCTCACAGACAACCTAAGAAAGTAAGGAGTATTTTATATCTACTAATAAGTTATTTTTTCCTTTCCTCTCCCACCTAGTATATTGTCCCCACCACTGACACATGAAACTTTTAAAGCGTAATAGTCCATCAAATAAGGTCCAAACTCCTTAGACGTGTTCTTGAACCTCTTCAAGCTTGCCTTCCCAGTCTGTCTCTCACTACTTCCTTCACACACACCACACTCAAAGTTCAAATTAACTTTCTAAGTATTCAAACATTCCTTGAGGACTTTCAAAGGTTGGGGACTCTTCTAAGTGCCAGAAACAGAAACACAACAATTGTTGTTCCCATATATGCCCCATATTTCCACTGTGATTATTGCCTCTACCTGAACTTGAATATCTGAATTATAGTTATTTGCTCCTTGAAGAAAGTATATGCATCTAATTTACCTCTGCATTCTCAAAACTCATTGCATACTAATATACTCAAAAATTTTAGATGTTCAAAAAATATGTAGTAACTGAATGAATAAGTAAATAAAAAATGCTAATCAATTCATTCATTGAGTGCTTTTCTTTTAAAAAAAATAAATAAGAGGTCCAGCTGGCAGTGAGCTTCTGCCATATTAGAGAATTTCAGCCCATTTACCTTTAATCTTCTTGGTCCATCTTTGGCAGAGCCCTTCCTTTTGCTCCTCGTAAGCACAGTAATAACTTTATCCAAGCCCCTTTCAAGGCTTCCAAACACTTTGGTTCCTTTTCTTTTTGGAGTATCCTCTACATGTGCTTGGTTGAGATCCAGTTCCACCGAGCGGCACCTTAAAAAAAAAAAAAAAAGCCTCCATGAGCAACTATCTCCTTTGCCATGAGACCAGAAGAGCTGGATGGTGCCCAGCTACTATTACTAAACATTTTGATCAAAGATTCTATAAAAGAATGCTGATCAAAAGGGAGAAACGCAAAACAGAATTTCAAGTTCTCATGGATTCCAGATTTTTCGGAGCCACGAAGGCTGGGTGAACCCCCAAAACTACTGTCCTGAGATAATCTTTAAACCTTAACCCAAAACTAGCCCCTGAAGTCTTCTTAAAACCAAACAATTGTTTCGGTTAACCAGTAAAGAATGTCTGCCTTGAGCATTATGCTCTTTTAAGAACTATCTATATGGGATCAAACTGACAACAGCAACTCAAAAGATTAGATAGGAACCTTAGAGGGCAATGAGTTTATGTTAATGGGGGAGGAACAACTCAGAAAAGGAGGGTGAGAATGGTTGCACAACTCAAAGAACTGTAATCAAATGTCACTGTATTGTACATGTAGGAACTGTTAAACTGGTGTACGTTTTACTGTATATATTCTCAACAACAACAAAATAAATAAATTATAAACAAAATAAAACAGCCTAAGCAGAGCTGGACCTCCTGTCTTTGAGGTGTGTCCCATTCAGGTGTGCCAGGGCCAGATCATCTCACCCCTCCTCAGGGAGAGCTAAAGTCATCTCCCACTGCAGGGTAGCCATTGTCCTCCATCTCCTCCAGCCAACTCAGCAGTTTTTCCCCAGGCTTTTTTTTTAAATGTCAAATAAACAGAAAAGTTGAAAGAATAGCACACTGAATGCCCATGTATCTGCCTAGATCCAATAATTGTTAATGTTTTGCCACATTTGTTTTCTCTATGTCTATAGACAGATAATAAATTCATTAAATATATGTATTTGCTGAGTCGTCTGAAAGCTGAAGATATCTTGACAATTCACCCTGAAGCATCTCAGCATACATCTCTGATGAATAAAGACTTTTTCCTACACAATACCATTGTCACATCAAAAAAATTAATAATAATTAATTCCATAGTATCAATATTGAGTTCCTATTCTAATTCCCCCAATCATCTATTCTACAGGCTTTTCATACGAGAGAAGTGAGCTTTCTTAGAAACATCATTTAGTATCTTCAGTATTTTGGGACTGCTATCTGTTAGAGGGGAGCCCTGGTGGTGTAGTGGTTAAGAACCTGGCTACTAACCAAAACATCAGCAGTTCAAATCCACCAGCTGCTCCTTGGAGGCAGTCCCACTGCTGATCAGGTTCACAATTCTATCCCATGAAGAAGGCAGTGACAACAGCTCCAACAATGGCCACAGACCATCCTCACACAGTCAATCCTACAGTCACCAAGGGAACTTACCTTTTAGCTCACATAATCAGGTTTATTACATATGAATAAAAGGAAATCAGTTACACGTACTAAAGATCAAGAGTCCAAAAAAACTAAACACTTACCGCCTCTCAGGGCTAATGACACCTGTCATTAACTTATTTGTTCCTGCTGAATTTACTGGTGTTTTAATTGGGGTTTCGTTCAGGCACTGGTTTCTATCTATTAGAAAAACAACAAACATAGACCATATATAGCTGACATACTATGGTTTGGAAATTTCTATCAATAATACATATCTCATTCATTGGCTTCAGGAATATTGTAATCACTTGGACTGTCAGGTTAAAGGTTCTAATTCTCTAAAAAAAAATGTTTCCATCTGATTTATAATAAAAACAAAATCATTTTGCTTTGTCTGTATGGCTCTTCTTTTTTGTTCACAGCTAAACTGAGGCTATGCTGATGATTTTAATATATCATATGATAATTCTAACTAGAACAATCATATATATACAGATTTTATGATTAATGATTCTCCTTTCTATAAATAAGTCAATCTGTATTTATACAAGAGCACAATTCATACCTTTAATTGATACAGTATTGAAAGGAGTTAGTTCAAGTTATAGTCCCATACAACTCCTATTAGGCAAAGAAATCAATTCCCTGTGAATGCTTGACAAAAGTTATTAAAAAAGTGGTGTGAGCTTTGGTTATTTCTTATATTCCCTATTCCAGAATCTTGTCGTTTATTCTAAGTAGGGTATTTGCATTCTAGAGAGTTTGTGACAAATTCGCATTAACAAATGAGATCATCACTGTTTAGTTAGCTCTTTGATCATGATCTAAAAGTTTTATAGCCTTCACAAATAATAATATTCACTTTAAAACAACAAAGATACGATATCAAGTTTTTACAAAAAGATTGGGGATTTTGTTTTGGTTTGTTTATGACTACTGAACACTATTCTCACTGGTTTCACAAGAACGAGAAAATAAGGCCAATCAAAAATATCTGTGGAAACAGTTTTCATCTTTGTATACTGCAAGTGTCTACTACTATACATAGTTGCCCTTCAAGAAATTGTCACTGATTGGATTGTACAGGGGCCAGAAAAATGAAATTAATGTTTATGTCAAAAATAAGTAACAGCAAAATTAAAATGCAAAGTGCTAATGGAAGCCATCAATCGGGGATTCAGCCACTTGCTCCCTTAGGCAGCTCTTATGTTTTTTTTAAAAAATGGCCAGTAATAGCTTTTGACCAACACAGTCTTTCTCACAGGAACAAAATATATAAACTGACAGCACTTGAAGATTATAAAATAAATTCCAAACTACCCACATTTCAAAACCTTCAGAGTTATATAAAAAGTAAAAAATATCTATAATGAAAGGGACCATAGCTTCAAAGTCTTAAAAAAAAAAAAACCCTGAATGAGCTAAGGTTCACCTTAGTTCCCTGACCAACCCCATGACTCAGAAAAGGACATTTTAGCTATATTAAGAGAAATAACAAAAGAGAAAGGGACCCCTCCTTGGGAAAAGATGCAATAGCAGCTACTACGGAGGTCCTACTATGTGCTGGTGTTATCTCATTGAATCCTCCTAACAACCACAGGCAGCCACACACACATCATCATCACACCTAAGTAGCCTCACATTTTTTTTGGAAAGTGTTATTAGATTTGATAAATAGGACAAAGTCATTAACATAACATTGGGACTTCCAGCAAATCTTTCCGACACAAGTCTCCCATAATATCTTTATAGATAAGAAGTTGGCCTCTTGTACTGGCTATCAACTCCATTAGCAAACTGGAAGCACAATGGCAGGATGTGGTTTAGAAGTAGCTCACCCTGCAATGTTTCAGAGCTGTGTTCATTAGGATCTTCACACAAGAGTAAGTCACATCGCTGGGAAAAAAAGGCTAATAAAGCTTAGGTGTCATTTTATTAAGTGACATATCAGACCAGATCAAAGTAAATAAAATTCCTTCAGGCTCTCTCTAATTTATTCCTTCATTCAACAAATATGGCCCCTACTATGTATGCGGGCAGTTCTACTCTGTCCTATAGGGTCGCTATGAGTCAGAGTCGACTCAACGGCAACAAGTTTTTTTTTAATGTAGCAGGCACTGAGCACCTAGTACCAGACAAAAAATATTGCACCTACTGTGCACTACACCATGCTGCAATAAACACGGCAGACAGTCTCATAATACTGCCTCATAGCTCTTATTGTCTTATCCTGGTTGAGACCAGTCCTAGAAAACTGGGTTCAGTTCTAGGCACTATGTTTTAAGAGGCACAGTGACAAAACAGAATGTGTCCAGAGGAGACCAACCACCAAAACACTGAGATGTCATACAGGAAACGGTTTCTATGATTGTTGATGATTAACCTAAAGCAGAAACCACGTGAAATAAGAGCATCGTCTTCATACAGCTATCTGTGAAGGGCAGTATAGATTTACCCTCTAGCTGGGTACATAGTAGGGAGGAACAGGACCAGAGTCCAGAACTGGAGACTCAGATAAATAAGCAGGGCTCAGAAGAGACTTCATCTTGAGTCAGCATAGGTGCAGGCAAATGAACAAGTAAGGTCTCAACCTAGGTATATGACCTTGGCAAATCACTTTACTCCTCTGAGTCTCAGGTTCCTCAGCTGTGAAAAGGGAGTTGGAGCAGATGGGTTCTAACACGTCTCTCAGCTTTGATATCTTATGATGTTGTGATTCAATTTTACAAATGTGAAAAAGTATCATTTGAGAAAAATTAGAAGCTGACTAATACACCTTCATTTCAACTAATGCAAGTAACATATGATAAAAAAGGAGCTTGGCTTCTAGAAATTCCTGACAGCAATGCTCTAGGTTTATTTAGCATGGTAAGAAGCATGAAACTCAAAACTATTTTACCACTGCTTAAAACACATAATAAATACCTTTTGAGGGTGTAGTGTAACAATTTGGTGTAGTGAGTACTCCCCTTTTATGCTGGTTCTTATTAACTGGAGTCTTTGGCTCAGGAAATAAAAAGTACTCTTCATTGTTTACCGTAGACTTAGGAGTATATACATTCTCTTTGTTCTTTATTTTATTTGCAGATGCTCTGCATAATACTGGAGTTAATGATTTAGACTCTAGATCATTTGATTCTGTCCAATGCTTGGCAAACTGGAAAAAAAAAAAAGTGACTGCATAAAGCACACTGAAGAAGACAAGTCAATTTATTTATAACATGCCTTAATCATTTACAAATTACCTTGTACCATTTTCATTAAAAAGAAATACTAAAAGAAATTACTGGCAATATTAGGAAATTTGAAAATACATATTCCATTCTCTTTAGTATATTTAAATCATTTTAGTCTCTTCTATTGACGGGTAATTTTCAACATGTTTCAGGCCAAGTGCTTAACCAAACATACTCACATCTTAGGCAATATCGAGAATGGCCAATGTTTCCCATACCTAGATTGTCATGGTTTGCCTCTAATTATGTACCAAAAACAAAAGCATAGTCAGTGGTTATGGAGGAAGAAAACAATGTTAAAATGTTCTAACAGAAATGCTGGATAAAAAAATATACTTTTTAATCCTTTTAAATTTATTGTTGAACTTGCAAGAAAGTAAAGAAAATCCTCAGAGGCTGAACTAAAAACAGGAGCATGAATACAGAGACATAGTCAAGGCTAAAACAGCCCACTACCATCTCTGATAACCTACAGCATAGATTTTAACAGTCATGGAAGCCTTATGCAAGGTGGTAAGTTAGATTCAAAGCTCCTGTGTGAGGTAACGAGAGGCTATAACTTAAACGAAAGCAAGAATTAAATATAATCTGTCCCGCAAAGGAAGTCAGCAAGGAAACTTATCTGTCTTAGCCTCGGCTCTTGGAGAGAAGAGGAATAAAAAGTCTCCTTTAGTAACTTGTAAATAACCACATGAGAATCTTCACATAGTTTTGGTATCTAAATTCATACTACCTGCACAGTTCCAGAAACCTCAAACCTAGAATTTAACTTAAAGTAGTCCTAAACTGGTTATGCCCAAGAAGCCTGATACAAGCAAACAAAAATACTGCCTGAAAGAAAAGCTTCAATCCAACTCAACCCAAGCCTCAAAGAAATCCCACACAGTTTCAAGAAATATGAGCCTATAAAAAAAAAATTCCAAAAGACACAAGCACCCCTAGCAAAGGTGAGCAGAAGAAAATGAAAAACATAATCAAACACATTAAGATGTCATACATTAAAAATATCTAATACAGAACATAAATATGTTCTTATGTTTAAAAATAATAAAAGGAGAAATTGAAAATAAGAGTGAAGAACAAGACTACCAAAAATGTTTAGACAGATTTGAAAAAGAAAAAAAATTCTAGAAACAAAATATTTAATGATTAAAATGAAAAACTCAATGGACTGGTCAAATAGATTAGATACAAATGAAGAGAGAATTTGTGAATGGAAGATAAATCTAAGAAATTATCCAGAATGCAGTCCAGAGAGAACAAGATACAGGCTATATGAAAGAGAGTTTACGATAGAGAATGAAGTGAGATGGTCTAACATATGTCTGTTTTAAGACCCAGGGATAAATATTAGAGAGAATGGAAGAGTGGCAATTAGTCAAAGAACTTTCCAAAATTGATTAAAGATACAGATCTCCATATATGGGAAGCACAATGAGTCACAAGCAGGATAAATAATAAAAAAATCCACATTTAAAATTTGGAAATGGGACTTCGGGCAAAATGGCGCTCTAGGCAGAAGCACCACGCCGTCCCTCCACAGCAAAGATCCGAAAAACTAAGCTGAACAGAGAAAACAACAATTCTGAAACCCTAAAACATCAAATGAAGAGATAAAGAATTCAGCCAAGCACCAAATGGAGTGAGAAAACTGACAGAGAACAGAGAGAGAGGAGAGATTCATGCAGAGGTTCCCTATCAGCTAATGCAGCGTGGATCCGCCATCTTGGACCCCTATTGGAGACCAGCAAATGGGGTACGAGAAAGCAACTTCATGGAGCTTCCAGTGGGAGACAACACAACCGGTAATTTGAGATATATGCTTTCCCAGCCCCCACCCTTCACCCCCACTCAACCTCCTCTGCTTCCCTCGGCCACAATCTCTTTTCCAGGAAGCACCAGCTGCTTAGATTCCACCCACCCAAACGGGCCGGCTCTCTGACTGTCATTCGTTGGCTGCTGGTGTTGCTTTTTTCCGCTTCTTTTGATTTCTTCCTTACCTCTCACCACCTCCCCATCCTTTCGCTTAAATACCTGGCTCTGGGCGCCATCTTTGCTCCTTCCTGAGGGGGTGCAGAGCTCTGGTAATTTGTGATATACGCTTTCCCTCCCCCTACCCTTCTTCACCCACACTCGGCATCCTCTGCTTCCCAAGGACACAGTCTCTTGTCCGGGAAACACTGGCTGCTTGGACTCCACCAGCCCGCACTAGCTGGCTCTCTGAGTGCCATTTGTTGGCTGCCGGTGTTGCTTTTTTTCCACTTCTTTTGATTTCTTCCTTACCTCTCACCACCTCCCCCTCCTTTCTCTCAAATACCTGGCTCCGTGCGCCATCTTTCCTTCTTCCTCAGGGGCTGCAGAGCTCCGTTCGAGTGTGCAGCTGCTTCCTGGTCTGGGCTGCTGCGCTGATGGGATCCCGGGGCTTTTATTCGTTTCTTTGTTTTGAATTGTTTGTTTGTTTTCTTTTCCTTTTCTTGAGTTGGGAGCCTGTTCTGGCCAGGCGGTGCTGCGTGGCTTGCAAACTACCCCGTCGGCTTGCACAGAGGTGCAGAGGGATCCCTGAAGGCATTTCTTTTTCGTTGGTTTTCCTTTTTTCTGTTTTTTATCGGGGTCTTTCTTGTCCTTTTTTTTGTTTTGTTTTGTTTTCTTTTCTTTTCTTTTCCCTCCTTTTCCCTTTTTGTCTTTCTTCATTACTCAGTTTCTCGTCTCCCTATATCTTCCTTCTCTTTCTGTTCCCTGAATACCTGGCATTGTATACCTCTACACCTTCTAGCCAGGCTGTACTGAAACACCTGAGAACAATTTCCCCAGACCTCATAGCCGCACCGGTGGGATCCCTGGGAACTTTGCTGTTCTTTAACCTTTCCGTTTTTTATTTACTTATTCTTTTCTTTTTTTATTCCACTTCCCCTTTTCGTTTTTCTCCATTTCATAGTCTCTCATCTCTCGACTCCAATGGCAAGCTCCCCTAGCATTCTTTTTTGTTTGTTTGCATGTTTTTGGCTCCTGTTCCTCTCTCCTCTCTCCCATATCCATCTTAGCTCCACACATAACAATCTCTCCGTTACATCCTGCCTACCTGCACCGTGCGCTTAACATCACACCACCAAGCAGCACAGGCGCGGCCTATTGGAACCTGCCCTGCACTGATTACTGACCCGCCCTGCTGGCTGCAATAAGTGCCACAAACAACCCGTCCCAGTAACTCCTCTTCAGCTAGACATGCCCTGCCGTACCATATCTGAGTGACTGACCCTGACAACTGGAGAAGGAGGTGAAAACTATTGTGCCCATAGACGAGCAAACAACAAAGAACACCCAGCCCGCCTGCTCAGACATAGCCAAATAAAAAAAACAAAAGGGACGAAACAAACAAATCTACAATCAATAAATGAGAAAAATAACTACTGAATGCCCCGAAGACAACAGACAATATCAAAACATTTACAAAAACAGGACAGGATGGTTCCAGTAGGCAGCCAAAATAAAACACCAGATGACT